TTGATATTGAAATCATATTTTTTCTTAAATATTAGAGTTTGAATGCCTGGAGTTGTTCTGCACTTTGCCCACAAAGAACTGTGTGACTGAGTAAATCACCTGCCATTTGTGTTCCTGTTTTTTCACCTAACATATGGGATTGAGTTTTATTGCTCTGTTGACTCTGAAGGATTGTGAGCAGCCAATGAGGTTCTGAATAGTTGAGGGAGATAGAGGCCCTCAGGAGATGGCTTGAAAATATATGGGGTTATTAATGGAAAGCAAGGACCCCCAATCTGGAGCCCACAGATGCCAGGCAGGAGAAAGATCAAGAACTCCATCTCTCCCCTTTAATCAAGTTAGAACGGCTGCTGAGTAGGAGTGAGTGTCTTGGATTAAGCAAGATAATAGGGCTATAAATCATTAATGTGAAATTATCTGTAATATAAATGGTGGAAAATAATTGAATATTGCAATGATACATATGCAACCATCCACACACACATATTGCACATACAATAGCTGCTCGACCACTACACAACCAGCCATCCAGTTTTCTACTCTAGATTTCATGGGTGCTAATTGCATTTTACCATACAAAACATTACTGTTTTTCCTTCTCTATCTTTTCAATACCTACATATAGTGTTTCCTAACAAGAACTGATCCCAGTTCACCTACATGTGCTTGTGTGAGTGACTGTGCTAACTCTGCTCACTCTTTCACAACAATAGGGATAGGCCTGGGCTTCTCACCAGTGTTGGGGGAACATTCATTCAGAGGGCCTCTCTGCTCCACTGGGCAACAGATCTGCATTGGCATGAATTTTCTGCTCTCCTGGTAGTGAGGGAGGTGTGAGTTATCCCTAGCATATGGAGAAAAAAACGAGAATACTATTTTTAACCATCTTTAGATAATCAAGAAACTATAATGATGTCTTACCATGGGCCAATGTGTTCGACAGGTTTGCACCTGTCCCCTAAGACCACAAAGCAGGTATGAGTAGCTTGTCACAGTGAAGTAGCAGTTCTCACAAGGATTCTGAGAGCTCCTGTTTTGAAATGCTCCTGACCTGCGTGTGTTCCTTCTTCCATATCCTCTATCAGCAAGTACCACACTAGGGAGAGAGATCTCATAGGAGAGGGCTTGGCAACATTAGAAAGGTCAAGGAAAGCTTCTCTGAGAAAAGTGGCTTTGACCAAGGATGAAGACGTTTAGAGCAAAGTGGTGACATAGTTATGCCAGGCAATGAGCCACATGCACAAAGGCTTGTGGTTGGAAGTGGGTCAAAAGAAGACCTGGGATCCTGAATGTGAAAAGAAGCTCAGCACTAGAAGGCTCTGGAAGTGACAAGACTAAAGCACCAGCCATGCTAGCATCTCTGTGCCAGCACTCCTGCCTGATCCTCTGGACCAGGCAGCCAAAGCAGAATCAGAGCCCTGGAAGACTTAAGAAGGAGCACTCGCAGCAGATATTTGCAAGGTTCCTTAAGTTTATTCCAAAGTACTTAATTTTTTGTAGTTAAGAAGTTATTGTGAATGGAATTGATCTGTCATGTTTGGTAAAGTGGCAGGATATAAAATGAATACACAAAAATTGTCCAGCACTGTGGCTCACTAGGCTCACTAGCATTCTAGTCCCAGTCGGGGCGCCGGATTCTGTCCTGGTTGCCTCTCTTCCAGGCCAGCTCTCTGCTGTGGCCAGGGACTGCAGTGGAGGATGGCCCAAGTCCTTGTGCCCTGCACCCCATGGGAGACCAGGAGAAGCACCTGGCTCCTGCTTTCGGATCAGCGCGGTTCACTGGCTGCAGTACGCATGCAGCAGCGGCCATTGGAGGGCGAACCAACGGCAAAGGAATACCTTTCTCTCTCTCTCTCTCTCTCTCTCTCTCTCACTGTCCACTCTGCCTGTCAAAAAATAAAATAAAATAAAATAAAATAAAATAAAATAAAATAAATACACAAAAATCAATAGCCTTTGTATACAAATACAATCCATTTAAAATGTACAATCCAAAACTTAATATGCTCATACTTGTATAACCAGCTGCTTTAAACAGTTTAAGAACATTTCATCACCCAAGCAAAAAACTACATAACCATTAATGGCCATGCCCCCTTTTTTCCACTCTCATCCATCCTCTTCTCTCTAACTCCAGGCCCAACACAATCAGTTTTCTACTTCTTATCTTGCTGTATTTGTCTGGTTTTTGTGGTTTTTTTTTTTTTTGCATTTAAAAAATATTCCTTCCACCTTCCTATAATTACACATCCTTTGAACGATCTCTTCCATATCTCTCCCTCCCACTTAGCAATCCAGGCCTCTGGTAGACAGATGCTGCTGCTATACTTTGACCAACATCTCCTGAGCCAACCTCCTCCTTCACTCCATTGTAACATTGGTAATTTGTTCTACTGCCATGAAATATAAGAATTTTAACTGTACATGCATGAGTCTTTAGATTGCTTAAGTATTATGAGTATTTTAATAGTATTGATTCTTTTAACTCATGAATATGGGATTTCTTTGCATTTTTGGTGTGTATACTGCAGTTTGTCTCATGAAGATTTTATATCATTAGTTTATAGCTCTTTCACTATCTTGCTTACATTTATTGACTTGAGTTTCTTCACCGTAATCGTGCTCTTCATGACTATAATTTTTAAGTTAAAACTCTGGTAGCAACTGCATTGCATTCATAAGCATTTGGTTCTCCTTTCTGTAAAATTCACTCACTAACTTATAAAGAAGGGCAATAAGCAGTTATTCAATAAACACATGCATCATAATGAATTAATGAAACAGCAATGTCATGAAACAGAAGTTAGAAAGGAATGATTTCAGTAGGTTCGGGAACAAAAGGACTAATGTGGGTGTTGAAGAATGTGGGATTTACAAAACTTCCTTGGAGAACTTCGACAGAGTAAATCTAGATGTTTTCTGAGGGCCACGGGGAAACAAAGTGTAGAGAACTAGGAGAGAGAGCAAGCTGTGCCTTTGCCTCTTGACAACAGGCCCTGCATTTGCACTGCAGGTGTTTTGTCTCTGAATCCAAAGATGGGTGCATGGATGACTGTACCCCAGCTAAAGGTGATTTTGCTCCTCCAGTTCATGAGTATCCAGCTCCATGTCACCTCAATGTCTTTAGTCATGGATATTAAAGGCCATCTGTGGGCCTATACAATCCAGGCACCAGGTGTTTTCTTCAAACAAAGTTTGAAGTGAGATGTTAGAGAAGATTTGCTTTCTGATAGACCCGGAGTTCTGAGAAAAGATGGGGGAAGTAAAACGTAAGCTGCTATAGAATGACGTCACCAAGGATAAGGGCTTAGTAAGTGTTGTGTGGGTATGCTCAGACATGACATGACCTAGGCCTCTCCTTGATATACAGGAAGGATATGTATTCCTTTCCCTGCCCATGAAGAAATAAAATAATTTTTAAAAATTCATCACAATAAATTCATAAATTCATTGCATTGCCCTAGGACAATTTGAAGTATCCTTGCACACCTCAAATATCTGAAGATGTCAACCTAATACATATCCGTATGTTAATGTTCAGAGTAACTTGTTTACAATAGTCAAATGATGAAAACAACCTCAATGTCCATCTCAGGATGGCTAGATAAATTGAATGTGGTAAATCCGTAAGATTCACTGCTGTACAGTTACAAAAAGAAAGAAGAAAACTTGCTATAATGAGGATGAATACAAAACAAAATGCAATGTGAAAGAAATCAGACATCCCAGGTCACATATTGTCTACTTTCAATGATAAAAACTGTCTAGAAATGGTAAATCCATAGAAACCGAAGGAGATCGATATTTGCATGTGGCCTTAGGGACTTGCAAGTGCCTGCATATTGCAGAAGTTTGATTTGGGGGTGGCGATAGATTTTGGACCTACATAGAGATGATGATTTCACAAATTTGTGAACATATTTTATGCAATGAGAATGTGCTAATTTTAAATGCCACCGACTGTTTGTTGAAAAATGGTTCTTATTGGCTATTGGAATGTAATGTACATAAAAATATCTCTCCTATGTGAAATTATAATTATAAGCAAAAGAAAAAAGAAAAAGCAATCAATTTATAAAATACAACTTTATAGAATCAGAACTTCATATGCATTAGAACGGTATGTATATGTGATAGAGAAACCATTTCAAAACAATAAATCTTATAAGAGTGACTGCAGACAAGACAATATCCGCAAAGAGATACATTTAATAGACACTTAAATCTTGTATTCAGGAAAGAAAAATCACTAAACCACTTAAATTATGATGCCAACAATGAAACAATCAACTCTAATAAATGAGCCAAAAGAACCACAGCATAACGCATAGTTATCTTCAATATCTTACCACATATAGAAACTTCTGTTGTATATAAACTGGTAAGAAAGTCAAAATTAATTCAGTATCCACTTCATTGATAATGCTTTAGTATAAAATGAAATTATTGCCTGAAACCTTGATGATGATCTGAGGTTGTTTTTGCAGTGACTCTATTTTATTTTTTTTTAATTGATTTTATTTACAGGAAACACAGTGGTACAGAGAGAGGTAGAGCCAGAGAGAGAGGTCTTCCAAATGAATGCAATGGCAACTGTTGAGCTGATCTAAAGCCAGGAGCCAGGAGCTTCTTCCATATCTCCTACACACGAGCAGGGGCCCAAGCAGTTGGGCCATCTTCTACTGAAGTTGGATCAGAATCAGAACAGTCGGGACTTGAACCGGTGCCCATATGGGATGTTGGCACTGCAGCCTGGGGATTTAACCTGCTGTGCAACAGTGCCAGCCCCTCTATTTTATTTCATTTAGAACTTTCATTCCTTACTTTGAGAAACAGTGATGGGGTAGGTAGAGAGAGATTAATAGAGAGACACAGACACAGACAGAAATCCAGTCTAAATGATAAATTAACTTTAGTTCCTTTATAATATGGAATGCTACTTCAATCCGAGGTTGTGGCTACAGACTCTAAAAATGTGACAAATACTCATGAGGAAAATTTCACGATCCCTTAGAGCATTTCCTGTTGTTAAAATCTTTCAAAGAGTTCCTCTCAGGTCTTATGAGAATAATATAGCACTTGGGAGCAAAGATGCAACCTAAGAGCCCTGCACTGGAGGCCAAGATGGAGAAGACCTCCACTGCTACCATGATCTTCCCTTTGGTGCTGTGATAGACAGGGAGGAAGGTGACCCAGACACTGCAGAATACCACCATGCTGAACGTCAGGAACTTTGCTTCGTTGAATGTGTCAGGCAGATTCCTGGCTAGGAAAGCCACAGTGAAGCTCGCCAGTGCCAAGAAGCCCAGGTATCCCAGGACACAATAGAAGGCAGTGACTGAGCCCTTGTTGCACACAATGATGATGTGGCCATGCTCAGCGTGAGCATCTCTATCAATAAAGGGAGGAGAGGTTCCCAACCAAATACCACAAAAAATCAGCTGGATCAGGGAGCAGATGGGAATGACAGAGTTAGAAACGCTTGATATCAGCAATTGCCTCGTGGTTCTTCCAGGTTTCGTAACCTTGAAGGCCAGAATCACAGTGATGGTCTTGGCCAGCACCGTGGAAACAGCCACTGTGAACACAAGGCCAAACATTATTTGCTGGAGGATACAGGTGGCTGTTTGGGGACGGCCAATGAAGAGTAAGGAACAGAGAAAGCACAGGAGGAGGGAGATGAGCAAGATGTAGCTGAGAGACCGATTATTGGCCTTGACTATCGGAGTGTGTCGATGCTTCACAAAGACACCCAAAACTGCAGCTGTGATGACAGAGCAGCACAGAGCCATGCAGGTCAGAGCCATCCCCAGGGAATCCTCGAAGGCTAAGAAGGTCACCAGCTTGGAGAGGCAGCGATTTCTCTCACTGTTTGGGTACTCATGCTCTGCACACTGGATACACTGGTCTGCATCTGTGGAAAAGATTCAATGTATCCATTACACAAATTCTTCCTTTTTTCTCTGTTGAGGAAAATATCTTTGCAATGTCATCCTCAATACAGACTGCTTCTTATGTAATACCCTGTTAATTCATTCCTTACCCAAGGAGAGTGATCCTCTTCAGATGCAAACAACAATATCACTAATGAGAATCTTCAGCAGTTGGGGTGCTAGGTTGACTCCTCTTTATGGTTCAGTTTTGTCTCCAAGAACATGGATTCTCCCAATTTTACCCTCTATAGTTCCCTTTCTTATGAGAAGCCTAGTATTGCCTTGATTTAGAATAATTGGAGAAGTAAATGAGCTAAAGCTTACACGATATCCTTACACCAATCATTACTCTAATTTCTAGCATTCCCTCTTTGTATACTACTGATATGTGGTAGAACGAGTCTTTTGTAATTTCATATTTTTGCCTTTCTGTGAGTCCTCTAGTCACTTTTCCATATAAATGGTGAGATACTATGATTGAGTAGAAAACATTTGAATTGGAATTTGAAGGCATTTCTGTTAGTTTTATGTAATAATCTTTGGAATAAATGGTATTTTATCAATTTATTACAGGAAAAGTTGCAATTTTTCATTTTCCCCACTCATTTATCCCTGAAAACACAACTTGTTATCCCTTTGCAGAAGGTGATAGATCTGGAAGAATGAGGTCTGCTGACCATGCTGCTTCTCTGGAAACATCCCCTTCTGCTGCTACAGCATGAAAGACGTGTCAGAAAACAGCTCAGTTAATGGTATACCTCTCTTTCAGGTACATATCACTAAATATGGATGTTATTGTTAGTTTACCTACTTTTGGCATAATGGTCATGTTCAGTTTTTTATAGGTGATACTCACATGATAATACTGGACGTCAGGAACTTGTGGTTATCTTCATACCTGAAAAACCCCTCTTTCCTCTCTGAAGGGATACACCAAATATTTTCTATGCTAAGATAATGGGAACTGAACATTCTTTTCTGAATAATACAAAATATTATAAGATCCATTCCCTATATTTTGAACAATGGAAATATTTTTCATTAGGCCTAGTACATTTCTACATTTTTCAATAATTAGATTTTGATAGGTAATTTATTACATGTTTATCTTATGGAAAAGCTTAAAAGTAGCTTAGAGAGAGGTTTCAAACTGTCTTTTAGTAGAATGTTGTGTTTTCATATTTCATCTTATTGCTTTCCCTTACTAATTATTTCCATCAAAAGGACAATGCTATGGTATTAATTATGTTTATCTGATAGCATGCATAGTAAGAAGTACACAGTACAGAAAGAAAGAAAAGATTTCCTAACAGTTTGAGTGCACTAGCTCTTGTGCTTTAAAAAGTATCGATTTCATGCCTTCTAAGCACACATAGATAACCTTGGTGATTACACATCTCACATTAAGATTCAACCGTTATATGGTCCAACAGAAGATCTAAGATTGGGGCTGCTTCCCCACTGGATAGTAAAGGGAGTTGTCAGCTAGCATCAACCCCAAAGTTGAGGTGAATCGGATGAGCACTGTCACAAAATACTTGCATGTAATGGGGTAGAGTTCTTGTTCATAAAACTGACAGTGTTTTTTTTTTCCTTGCATTTCGTTGAATTCCTCACTTAGTTGAGGGTTGATCATGTGATGATAAAATGGACTGAGAGTGTGTCATTGTAAAAACTGAAAGAAAGAATGAGAAAGGAAGGAGGAGGGAGGGTAGGGTGGGAACTATCACTATGTTCCTGGGTCTGTATATATGAAATACATGAAATTTGTTTACCTGACTTAATGAAAAATGTTAAAAATAAACAATAACTCTGTTTAAAAACTCTGGATGAAATTAAATAAAATAACTCTGGGATGCGTGAAAGCATGCTTTGAGACAATGATGTATCCCATTGCAAATATCGTTGGTTTCCTTTTTGTTGATACTTAAGTCAGTGCAGTTTTCATGGGGAAGTTATATATATTTTTACCTGTCTGATTGGAAATGTATCTCTCCGGACAGAAAGTACAACTATAGCAGCAGACAGGTTTTCCTTCCTGTGGTATTTTCATGAATCCTGGGCCACAGCTCTGGCTACACACAGATTGGGGTGTCTGAGGGGAAAAGAGGAAGCATTGGTCATGATTTTGCACGCCATCAGTTACTTGCAGAGAATGTCAATGTTTCTTCCCTCACAAAAGAAAAATTGATAGTCAATTTCACATAATTTCAGGCCACTACTATGTCTACTCACAATACATATTATACTGATACTACTTCGACATGTAACAGAGTTTACCTGACCATGCTTCCTGCTTTATCAACTTTTTTCAAATAGTATGAAAGTATATAAGTTTTAATATCAACATGTATATTCTGAGTATTTGTCCATTTTATTGAAATATTTCATTCAAAATCTTTCTAATGCAGGTTTCTACTTGGAAAACCAATAGGAAAACCAAGAAGTCTGAGTGTAGTTTCATCGTGTTCTCATGTATGTTTGGGTAGAAGATTTTATACACCAGATAAAAAGAACCAAAAACATGACAACTAGTAACATTTCTGATTAATTCAACAATAAATGCCAAAAGATGATGAGAATATGTTGTAAACCGTGGATCATATTTCATCCGTAATTGGGTTTCTCGGCTTCAGGAGGGCATTGACTCCAGCGACTGGCAACTTATTTGAGATGCAAAGCATGATATTTCATAAATCACACAAAATATTGCCTGGAATAATCCAGTGGTGGAAAGATGATGGAAATTACGTTCAAAGCTTTGAGATGTATGTACGGAGGAGTGCATAGACTCCAGAATGACAACTTATTTGCAATGCAAAGCATGAGATTTATGTACAGCAAGGACTGAAGAATGAATGGCATGCACAATGACAACTGAACTTGAATACTATCTACAAAGAGGAAAACAATATCAATCTATCATTCACTTGTATTCATAGTGCATCAAAACATAATGAACCCTTATCATATGGTTAAGGAATTCAGAACATAAGCAGAGCATATTTAGTACCAATAGGTCTCTACTTTGATATCTCTTTCTATTTATCACTTTGTTTATTCTATTTATTCAACTATTATGTGAATAACTATGCCCAAACTGAAACCAGTATGTTATAGAAAATTTCACTTCCTATACACATCAGCTCTGAATATGTGTAAGTTATACCGTAAATTTTTAAGCCAAGATGAAAAATGAGAATTGAACCATTGAAGTTTTCACCCTTAATGTTGTCTCAGGAGTTTACTCAGATCCTCTAGCATGTGTCCAACAAGGACAGGAAACCTTACCTCTTTGAATGCAATAGGCCATTCTATCATCTCTTTGCTGATGACCAAGGCTTGGTCATGGGGACTCTTGGAGGAAAACTCTCCAATTTTAATCAACAACTGAAGACCAACAGGAAAATTTCCAATATTCTGGATATCATAATGTGCCATATGGTCTCTTGTTTCATGGAAGGATATGTCATCGCCAGCATTGTTAGTGAATTGGATTTTCCTTAAAGGTGGATGAAGCTGGAAGATATCCAGAATTGGAAAGATGGAAGGAATTCAAATGAGAAGTAGAGAGTGAGTACGTACTAAGCAACCATTTTTCTTTCTGCCTGTTTTCAATTTTATTTTTTTTCAAAGGTGGGATGCTGGAGCTGCAAGCAAATTATTAATCTACTGCGCCAAGGCACTCTCAAATATTATTATTATTATAAGTACACATAGAAATTAGGTGGAGAGGTAAACTTTATGATGCTAACTTTTACATATTTTTATTTTCTTTCTGTAGACATTAAATTCATTTGACTTATTCAACAAATTTGATGAATTTCTTTTTCCCTTCTGCATGCAAGCAGGAGTTCCTAAATGGACTCCATATATGGATCATGAGAATGACTCTGTATGTGGATAACAAATCAACCTGTAATCCAGGAGCACACCTTGTGTTTAGTTTTAATTCTCAGTGTTTAACAAAGGGACCACAGTCCTTTATCCCTGACTGTTTCAGGTTTTCTAAGAATCATCATCGCTTGATTTCCCAATGTCAATTTAGGATATTATCTAGAACCTATTTCTGCTTTTCCCCAAAAATTTACTCACAGAAGGAATACGTCATTACCTCTCTATATATGAGCATATGTGTGTATGAATAAATAATATATGATATTATAAATCATATATATGAATATACACTAACTAGATGTTGTTTCATACAATCCACAGGGAATATTTATGGGTTTTGCACACATTCTAAAGAAAAGAACCATTTTGACCAAATTTTTTCTTCCTATGCTTTGTCACAAGTGAGATTAGAGAATTTTATAGCATATCATCCTATTCTGGAAAATATTCTGATAACATTTCTAGTTACAGAATTTGAATTCATAATCCTCTGTGATAGAATTCTTCAGATACAAATAATAATTACAGTTATTACAAGCACATTTTTTACTCTACTGTGTCTAATGATGTTAACATAAAAAAACAATCAGGATGATGCCCCTCAATAAGACACTGCTGGATGACATCAGTGCTGAATGCATGCTCTCTTCTGAGAGTATGCTTACCTGCCAGGGGAGAAGCATAGGCTGGGATGAATCTCCTGAAGACAGTATGTCTACTTTCTCCAAAAGCATCTTATGTAGCACATGGGCCAGGGCATACACGGCATTGTAGATAAAATAACTGGAGTCAGATATGGTCATCATATCAATGTTTCCAGGGAAAAATTCAAAGGAAGCATTTGGTGGGCACAACCCAATTTTTCCACAAAAGGAGCCATCAGGTAAGCAGTTGAAAATGTGAAGCCACAATTTACTGAAGTAAAAGTCTTCTGGGTATTTGGAAGGGTTCACTGTCTTTAAGAAATGTTTGAGGCCAGGGATTTCCCCTCTGTGGGGAGAAAATGAGAAGCCTCCATGCAAAGAGTGCAGCATGTGGTATGTCTCATACACAACAATATCCCACTTTGCTGCCATGACCCACACCTTCCCTGTGGTTAAAAAGAATTGTCCTACAATGTCCACATGGATGAGGCTCCTTACATCACCATAGAGTATATGCACATTTGCAGATGAAACACTGAGCCTAGTCATGAAAGTGATATCGGTTGAAGCAAACATTCTCTTAGTGGCAGGAAGCTTCACTTCAAAGGCCACACAGAGACCTTTCTTGACCATCTCTGCTTTGATATCGCGAAGGAACCACTCTCCTTTCATGTCATCAGATACAAAGAGTGCTATCCATGTCCAGCCAAAATGCAGCAACAAGGAGATCATTCCATGGGCTAGGAAACCATCACTTGTAGCCATCTGATACAGGGATGGAAACTGGTCTTTGTCATTTAGCATGGGATCAAAAGGGCCATATGACAGCTGAAAGCAAAAACAAAATACCGTAACTATCATTTCAGTGGCATGTGCAGTTATTTCTGCTGCAGAGGGTGTAAGATATTCCATTAAAAAGAGGCCTGCGGGAGGAATCCTCTGGGGTACAGAGACAGATTGCTGTAGAGATAACTGAGCTTTAGAATTCTGTGCACAGAAAGACCAGGTTTCCAATGTCAACTGCTTTTACAATAAATGGATTACCCATTCATAACATAAGAAATGTGGAAGATTCCTGTGTATTCTTCATGTCATGCAGTGGGAACTGAATAAAACATGAACTTTGGATGCAGTTTCACCAAGATAGTGGTCTCTTCGTCATCCTGACCTTGTATGGAGCAGAACCCACTCTTTCGGCAGCTAGCATGGGATGCAAAGTGTGTACAGAATAAATCTTCAGTGTGTTCATCTGTTATTACATTAGAGTTAACTTAGTTTTCCACCATTTCATAAATTGTCACGAAGAACCTACTTGCTCTCTGATTTTTAGTAAAATAGTTTTCTAGTTCTGAATTCTCTTATGCTACTGTGCTCTGTGTTTGGCAGTAATACAAAACTTGGGAGGCAGTAGTGATGGCTTGATTAATTGGGATCCTTACACCCATATGGGAATCTTGGATTGGTTTCCTAGATTCCAGGTTCTGCCCTGGACAGCCAGGCCCAGCACCATGGTGGATATTTGGTGAGTAAATCAGCTATTGGAAGATCTCTGACTGTCTGCCTCTGTTTCTCTGCATCTCAAATTTTTAAAAAAATCTGTGATATCAGGAATTGGGAATGGAAAGCTCGCTGTGACCCTGTGAAAAACTCTGTGGGGGTGGATGTAAGTATAGTAGGGTAGGTTAGAGGGAGTCTAATAGGTTAGCGTGAACACCAGTACAACTGTAACTGAGCCTCAAATACCACTTAGTGATCTGTGGGGAGGAAGGTCCCTCAGTGTTGTCCTTAAGCGAAATTAGATGGTCATGTCTTTTTGTCCCCACATCTATGAGTCTTTTGCACTTGGATGAAACCTGAAATGGTCCTGTCCAAGGATAGGACACTACTCTGTGATGTGGATGTTTCTTTTGAGGTACAGATCCACCAGCACTCTGGAATCAATATTTCCAGCAGGTGGGGGCTGGACACATTGGCATTACACAATAATCTGGGTGGATTATTGTCTAATATCCACTTGTCCATATCCACTACTCCTTTCCTTACTTTTACTTCCCTCTGTTAATAATCTCACAACTCTGGATATTCTTGGACATTTCTCATAAAATATGAGTTATGTATATCTGGTTTCCACATTACACTTTCACCAGAGGGAGAGAATGGTGGAGGGAAAGATTCAAATATTTCTCTCCAGAATTAAAAAGTCATTTACCTGTGGGGTTCCGTAGAGTTCCAAAAGTGTTCCAATTTCAGCAGAAAATGCTGATGTGGTCCCTGCAATAACTGCAACTAATTTTTCCTGTGTCTGGCAGGTGTAGTTAGGGATCATTTCATTCTTTCCTGAAAGCCAATACAGGGTGTTCCACAAGGTGAACTGGTCACTAGGAATCGCATTGTAGAATTGGAAACCCAACGACAGATTGGGGAGTAAGTGGGTGTCCTTATTGACCTCCTGGATGGCAAAGTGAAAGGCCAGCACATATTGGTAGTTCTTCCACAACCACCTAAAGAGAGGGGCAGCATTGCAGAGAAGGGTCAGATAATGTAGCTAAGGCAAATTCTCAACTAAGCCCTAAAGCACCAGTGATCATAGTTAGGTTGCCATTCAGTGATTTCCAGCCTTGGCTCCTGGAGCTGGTGCGGTTTATGTTACTGGGTCTCGGGAAGAGCTTGAAATGGCCCTATGACTCCTGTGACACAAACTGTCAGTGCACACACTCTTCTTTTAGAAGAGTTCTGATTTATGCCAATATGGGATCTCATTTCTACTTAGAGACAGAAGACAAATGCAAGCATTCTTTGTTTTCTGTTAGTTTTTTTTTAATTTAAGTCATGCAAGTTTAGTGTGTTTCATATATACAGATTTAGGAACATAGTGATACCTTCCACCCCACCCTCCCTAGGAGGAAGAAAGTTCTGTGAGTTCTTGAATCATTTAAATAACACCTGACATGCCAGTTATTTAAACATTTGGGAGCATTATCTCTTCTAACCATATTCATCTGAGCAATTTATTCATGCTTCCTTCTGTAAATTTTATGAAAATATATCAACTACTATAAAAGCAGCTTTTCTGAATTATATTTCCTTGAAAATCAATATTTGATTCAGGACTTCAAATTCATTGTCAGAGAAATTATGACTTACAGTACATTTTCATTTGTCTGTTTTCTCTATACTGAATTTTCTTAATCATTTCACAATTCACACCTGAAGGTTTCTGCATTTTTCTCAATAACTATATGAAAAGCATAAGTTCTTGGAATTTAAGAAGAGCTATCACATATTATGAGTCCAAAACAACACATGCCCTATCTTCCTACTATGCATACTTTTGGTCTTCTATCCTTGTTCTAGATATTGTGTTTTTTCAACATCTTTCACTTTTATTTTTAAAAAGATTTATTTGAGAGGTAGAGTTACAGATAGAGAGAGGGTAAGACAGAGAGAAAAGTCTTCCATCCTCTGGTTCCCTCCCCAAATGGCCACAACAGCTGGAGCTGAGCTGTTCTTAAACATATGAATTAAAAAGGTTTTAGTTCATAAGAGGACTTGTTCCCAAAAAAGATGAATTTCATATGTTTTCTCTGATATGTGATAGATACTATAGAATGCAAAAATGTTTAAGGATGAAACAGGCCACTTATGATTTGATAATTGTTTTTAGCCATCGTTTATATTCCTGTGGGTGTTTTGCAAAAATTAAAGGATGGGGCCGGCACTATGGCACCACAGGTTAATACCCTGCCTGAAGCACCAGCATCCCATATGGGCACCGGTTTGAGACCTGGCTATTCCATTTCTGATCCAGCTCTCTGCTATGACCTGGGAAAGCAGTATCTCTTTGGGCCCCTGACCCATGTGGGGGATGTGGAAAAGCTCCTGGCTCCTGGCTTCAGATCAGTACATCTCCCGTTGCAGCCAACTGGGGAGTGAACCATTGGATGGAAGACCATTCTCTCTCTGCCTCTCCTCTCTCTGTGTAACTCTGACATTCAAATAAATGCATAAATCTTTTTTTAAAAAGAAAACATCATTTATCAGAGTTATAATAAACAAAAATAAATTAATGAAATATATTCAGCATGTGGAAGACTTTGGAAGGGGTCTTTGCAGTTTCAAGATCAAAATTTTTTAAAAAACAAAGGAAGGAAGGGAATTAAAAGAGGGAAGGAGGAAGGGAGGCAAGTATGATTATATTCTTAGACTTGTATCTATGAAATACATGAAATCTATTCTCTTTAGATCAATAAAAAATACCACAGAAATAATAAGATTCACCAAAAATTATTATAAATGGCTATATGATAACAAATTGGAAAATCCAGAAGAAATGGAAAGATATGTGGACAGATAAAATCTAGAAAAATTGAATCATGAAACCTAGAAAAACCTAAACAGAACAATAACTAAGACAGGGATTGATTCAGTAGTAAATACCATCCGGACAAAGAAAAGCTCAGGACTGGATGGCCTCACTGCTGAATTATATCAGACTTTTAAGAATAAATAATTTCAATTCTTCACTAATTATTCTAAACTGAAAGGGAGGAAATTCTCCCAAACTGATTCTAGGAGGCCAGTATCACCTTAATTCCCAAACCAGAAAATGGTACAACAAAGGAAACAATAGATTGGTATCATTGAAGAAGGTAGATGCAAAATCCTCAACAAAATACGAAGTAATCAAATCCAATAATACATCAGATCATTCACCTGGACAAAGTGGATGTATTCCTGGCTTGCAGGGATGGTTCAACATACACAAATCAGTGTGAAACATCACATTAACAAATTGGAGAATAAAAACCATATGATTACCTCAATAAATGCAGAGAAAGCAACTGATAAAAATACAACATTCTTTCATGATAAAAACCTTAAGCAAATTGGGTGTAGAAGGAACATTCCTCAACATAATTAAGGCAATACACTACAAGCCCACAGCCAGCATCAGATTCTGGATGAACACAGATGGAATAGGGAAAGTTGCACACATTTCCGATAAGAACCAGAACCAGAAACGGAAGCCCACCTTCACCATTTCTAGGCAAGATAGTTATGGAAGTCTTAGCCAGAGTCATTTAGCAAGAAAAAGTAATCAAAGAGATACAAATTGGAAAAGATGAACTCAAATTATCATCTGTTTGCAGATGCCATGATTCTATAGATAGGGGAACCAAAAAATTCCACTAATACAGTACTGCAACTCATGAGAGAGTTTAGTGAAGTTGCAGGATATAAAATAAACACATAAAAATCAATAGTCTTTGTATACCCAGACAATGTCATGGCTGAGTACGAACTTGTAAGGTCATTCCCTATCACAATAGCTACAAAAAATTAATTAACCTTGAGTAAATTTAACCAAGGATGTGAAAGATTTCAACAATGAAAATTATAAACATTAAAGAAATAAGACACATGAAAAAGGAAAGATCTTCTATGTTTTTTGGATTGGAAAATTAATATAAGAGAAATGTCCATACTACCAGAAGAGATTTATTGATGAAGTGTAATCCCAATCAAATCACCCATGGCATTTTTCTCATGTCTAAAAAAATATGCTTAAATTCATATGGAAACACAAGACACTCAAGGTATCTAACACAATATTACACAATAAACAAAGTAGGAGGCATCACAATACCAGACTTCAAGGCATACTCTATGACAGCTATAATCAAACCACTTTGGTAATGGCATGAAAAATAAACATGTAGACCAATGGAACAGAATAGAAAACCTGGAAATGATCCACACAATGTACAACCAACTAATGTTTGATAAATGAGCTGACATTAATCCCCAGAGAAAAACAATTTCTTCAACAAACGGTGCTTGGAAAGTTGGATTTACATTTGCAGAAGTATGAAAGAAGACCTTTACCTTAGACAAAAATCAACCCCAAATGGATCAATGAATTAAATCTATATTACAATACCATCAAGTCACTAGAGAAAAACATCAAGGCAACTGCAGGACATTGACATAGGCAGAGTTCTTGGAAAAAAAAACCAGAAGCACAAGCAATTAAAACAAAAATAGATAAACAGGATCACATCAAACTAAGGAACTTCTTCATTACAAAGGAAACACTCAACAAAGAGGCAATGGACTGAATGGGAAAAAATATTAGAATCTGGGAAACTGATAAAGTACTACTATTCTGATTCTATAAATAGCTCAAGAAAATCAACAACAAAGCAATCAAGTCAAAAAATGGGCAAAGGACATGAAGGATGAAATTAAAGTGACAAACAGACACCTGAAAAATGCTCAGTGTCGCTAGCCACAGGAGAGTGCAGATAAAAACCACAGTGATGTTTCATCTCATGTCAGTTAAAATAGCTATCATTCAAAAATAAAAAATAGGGTGCTGCTGTGTAGTAGGTAAAGCCACCACCTGCAGTGCTGACATCCCATGTGGGTACTGGTTCAAGTCCCAGCTGCTCCAATTCCCATCCAGTTCTCTGCTATGGCCTGGAAAAGCAATAGAAGATGGTCCAAGAGCTTGGGCTCCTGCACCCACGTGGGAGACCTAGAAGAAGCTCCTGGCTCCTGGCTTTAGATTGGATCAGCTCCAGCCATTGTGGCCATTTGGGGAGTGACCCAGAAGATGGAAGACCTCTCTCTCTCTCTCTCTCTCTCTCTGCCTCTTCTTCTTTCTCTGTGCAACTCTGACTTTCCAATAAATAAATAAATCTTCAAAAAATAATAATAAATGCTGGTGAGGATGGGTGGCAAAACATACACCATTGATGGGAATGTAGCTTTGTACAACCATTAGGGAAGATGGTATGGAGATTCCTCAGATATCTGAAAATAAATCTACCATATGATCCAGTGATTCCACTCCTGGGAATTTACCCAAAGAGCATGAAATCAGCATAGAAAAGAGTTATTTAATGACTGGTGCATAGGGAGATTACTGATGCCATAAACAGGAGTGTCAATTTGTAAAGTCAACAACAGGAGTCACTGTGCACTTACTCCTCATGTAGGATCTCTGTCCTTAATGTGCTGTACACTGAGGCTTAATGCTATAACGAGTACTCAAACAGTATATTTCACTTTGTGTTTCTATGGGGGTGCAAACGATTGAAATCTTTACTTAATGTACACTAAACTGATCTTCTGTAAAAAAAAAAAAAAAAGAAAAGAAATTATCAATTCCCAACTTGACTCTCACTGGGATTAAACATGACAATAGGTCTGATCTGATTTCATCATCATTTAAAAAAAATCATTTATTATTTTTCACTTTATGTTTCTGTGTGGGAACAAACTGTTGAAATCCTTACTTAAGGTATACTAAGCTGATCTTCTGTATATTAAGATAATCGAAAATGAATCTTGATGTGAATGGAAGGGGAGAGGGAGTGGGAAAGGGGAGGGTTGTGGGTGGGAGGGACGGTATGGGGGGGGAAGCCATTGTAACCCATGAGTCGTACTTTGGAAATTTATATTCATTAAATAAAAGATAAAAAAAAAAAAAAGAAAA